TACTTTTATCGATTTTATCGATTTTTTGCAAAGTTTGAGCTACGGGGCTGGGATTTGGCACAGGGGGGTAATCGAGCATGCTGATCACCCCCGTGGGGGTGCATGATGTATCCAGCGAGCAGCGCTACGTGCCTAAAACAGTATTGCCGCCTCCATTCAAATTTTCAAGGGGCTGTAACTAAGCGGGGAGGAGAGGGTTTGAGGCGGTTCGGGAACCAATTTGTAGGTTTGGGATGTAGATAAAATTTATGTAAATGAAGTGAATAAATTGCGTGAGGGAGGGAAAATTTATGACTTTTCTTTTAGTCTTGCGTAGGGAGTTATTTGACATGCTGATCACGCATACCATATCCATTCCCACGAAAACGCCTTATTGTGTTGTTACGGTAGTATTATAGTATGGGGTCAGGATTTCAGAATCCGTTAAAACTTTGCATAAGGGGTTATTCGACAAGCTGATCACAAATACCACACTTTCTCCGCACGAAAACCTCTCATTGTATGATTACGGTAGGTGTATGGTAAGGAGTCAAGACCGTAGATCTGCCTAAACTTCGGGAGACGGTCAAGAGGCGTGATTTCTCTGGCTATCACCAACTTAAAATTCCAGTTTAGTGCTATGCGAGTCTTCAAAAAATTACCGGATAAAGTGCATTAGTTTACTATTTGTTTGAGGTCACCACTTGCTGAGTTTCATGGTTTTTGCTATAAATCGGACTGAAATATTTACGAATTTGTTCTATACATTTTCATGAGTTTTTAACCTTCAAAATTGCTCTTTTGTTCTTCTACAGTATCAAGATTGAACAACTCATGCAACTATCTAATATATCTTCTTCTAAATTTCATATGCTTTTAGAAAGTTGCAAAACACTTATTATGTGCTATTTGGTGTCCAGCTGGCAACAAAAATCGCGCCTCTTGACGTACACCCCTAAACTTCGTGCAGAGGTGCCACCTGATAGGCTCATCATGAATACCGCGCTCCTCGCTTATAAAGCCTTCTCGCAGATTTCTGGGATCTTAATTGGTCTGAAAAGCGCGAAAGATGCTCACCTAAACGCTGCAAATTGCCATAAGTTCACAACAAAGCGTTGTTCTAGAGAGCAAGCCTGATATTCGTAATCAGCATATTGTAAACTCCTCTAGGCAACGTTCTAAGCAAGTTTGCAATTTTCACCTATCCACCGTGTACCCACCGTAGCACGAGGAAACGGCGCTTATTTACAAAAGTCAGGTACTATTTCACATTAGTTGACCCAAAAAATGAAAATCGTGGATTTCGCTAAAACTTCGCCTAGGGAGGTTATATGGTATGCTGAACGAATATGATGTTTATTTTGTGCGACAGCGCCATCCAGTGGAGTTACGGTAGGATTACGGTAGGGGGTCAAAATCACATTTGCCCGAAAGACGGCCCAGAGGGGTTATTCGGCCCACTGATGCCAAGTATCACGTTGGTTTTAAAGCGTACCGTTCATTTTCTCGGGTTACGGTAGCTACATGGTAACGGTGTAGAACATAGTTCTGCCTGAAACGGGTGTATGGCGATTCGAACGATCGTGAAGCTTTGCACACACGACCACCGCGGCGCTCTACACACCCTGCTGCGGCTTTTGCCTAGGCAAAGCACAGGGAAAGATACATTTGCCGATTTGTGATTTTGACCCCCTACCGTATACCCACCGTAGCCTGAGAAAATGACGCTACGGTACAAAACCAATGTGATATTCAGCGTCAGCGGGCCGGATAACCCCTCTAAACGAAGTTTCGGGCAAATCCGTGCTTTTGACCTCCTACTGTAATCCTACCGTAACTCCACCGGATAGCGCTGTTGCATGAAATAAACATCATATTCGTGTACAGCGTACTAAATAACCCCCTCAGACAAAGTTTTAGCGAAATTCAAAATTTTTTTATTTGTTGGGTCAACTAATGTGGATGGGCGCCCAATTCAATATGATATCCATGTTCAGCGTGCCAAGTAACCCCTCTAAAGCAAATTCCAGCCCAATCTAGGTTATGACCCCCTACCGACCGTAACCCCTCAAAAAGCCCCACTTGCAAAATGAACATCACCCCCCCCCTAAGCGCGTTTTCAGCGAAATCCATGATTTTAAATTTCTGGGTTTTATTAAGTGGAATAGCGCCACTCAAAATAACATACTCCACGAACGATAAGAAAATTAACGAAGTCCCCCTCCCCTCTTCCCCCCCCCCCTTCTCCTAGCTGCGTAGATACGAAAAGGTGCGTTGTCTCGTATGCCTGCACGTCGATCGATTCTCGTGTGGGTTCTGATGCATTCGTGCACTGTGCGGAACATATGCTTTGTTTTACGCAATAAAACGTCGCTCCGAAGTTCAAGAGTGGAAGTTGTGAGCCAAGTTCAATTGCAAAATGTTATTCGGAGTCCTCGTTATTTCATCTTATTTTTTATCATTTATTTATAATATCCGCAAATGATAACGCAATAAGTGAGCGTTTTGGAAAACTTAAGTTTACACATCCATCAGTTTCACGTAGGCTTACTATCTAAAGCGATGTCTTCCGCAAATCTCGGCGTAAGTCTCTAGATAACTCAGATAACATTATTCTTTTATAATGTAGTTTCCTGTTTCTAAATAATAGTGTGCATGGAGAAAGTAGTAGTGGTCAGCGTGGAACAGACTGGTGATGGTCAGGTTAGGCGCGTCTATTTGTTCACTTGTTATTGTATTATTTATTTTCATTTTGCATCTTCATGTTTTTATTTTATTTTATTTTTTGTTTTTTTTATCAGTCGGAAAGATTGAAGTTGCATAACTCCCAGAATTTTCGAGATCAACAGTTTTTTACAAATAAAACTTCCGGAAGGAACAATCAGATTGAGATAGTCGTCGTTATTCATTTAGTCGGATACTATACTTACTATATATCGATATGTTTCGAGCTTATATTCAGAAGAAAAAGTAGGAGGTGGATCAATACTGTTTTGATCCTGCCTCAATGGAAAAGTGTAAAAGTTTAGCGGTATCTAAATTTTATTCTGAATTTTTTTCCGGGGATTAGAACATATACTTCTTTTTGATCCGCTATCTAGCCCGAAATTTTTTTTCAGTTTTTCACTTATCTTTCTTGAGTGCGTAGAGCAAAAGACACCGTTTCTTAATCTCCTATCTAGCTTTCAAGCTTTATTTGAATTTTTGTCTGATTCGCTTTCTCCAAGGAAATAACAGAAGAACAGAAAAACAGCTTTGATTATCTATCTAACTTGCAGATTTCTTTCTGAATTTTCTTTTCAAAAATTTCAAAAAAATTTGCGAGGAACAGGTCACGTTGAATTATCTTTGTCACTCAATCTTACTGCTAACTCTGTTGACGTTTCTCTGATTATTGCTATCATCACTTTGCTGGGGCTCTTCAAATGTTGGCGGCAAAATTCACATCACATCGAGTAGATTGGATAAACATCATGTCAGTGGGAAAAGCTTGCATGATTTTAAAAGCTGTAACAACTTCTAAAACAAATTTTCTAGTGATGGGTGAAGGGACTTACATACACCGAGAAGGTTGCCGCTGCCTAGTTAGCGGAGTTCATGAGAGGTCATGAACTGGCAGCAACGCTTATTCGCATTCAATTTGCACCGAAGATGAGCTGATTTTGCTCACGGTAACTCCGTCATCATCCTGCAGCCTTTTGAAATTTGAATTCAAAATTCAGTAGTTAAATCAGTCCAATTAGGGCAAACACTTGTATTTAGGGGTATTCTATCACGCTGATTCCGAATATGTTAATCGCTTTGCTTGAAACCTAGGGTTTTTTTCTTTTTGTGTTGAAACTTGTTTTCACAAACAAAAATTTCAAAAAAACCTATGTAAGGGTTTTCTGACATGCTGTTTCCTAAAAAGCTAATGGTTTCGCTCAAAACTTTGAATATTCTTTCCTTCGAAATTTTACTTATTTTCCGCAAATTCTCTGTAAATTTGGTAAATTTCACAATTAGGGTTTTTTTGGCATGGTGTTTCCAAAAACGCTAATGGTTTTGCATTAAACATCGTAGTTTTTCTAGTTTGAATTTCAAACTTTTTTTCGGATTTGGTGATAACGGCCACAGGATGCCCTGGAATCTGACGATAATAGAAAAAAATTTTGAGCTTTCAAGCAAAACCATCAGCTTTTTTCGGAAACAGCATCTCGAAGAACCCTTACATGGAATTTATGAAATTTTTGTTGGACAATTTGTGAAAACAAGTTTCAATTCAAAAAAAGAAAAAAATCCTAGGTTTCAAGCAAAGCGATTAACATATTCGGAATCAGCGTGATAGATATATACCTCTAAATACAAGTTTGCCCTAATTGGACTAATTTTACTACTGATGTTTGAATTCAAATTTTAAAGAAATTTCGGTTTCATGGGCTGCAGGATGATGACAGAGTTACCGTGAGCAGAATCAGCTCATCTTCGGTGCAAATTGAGTCCGAATTAGCGTTGTTCCCAGTTCATGACCTCTCATGAACTCCGCTAACTAGGCGGCGGCAACCTTATCGTTGTGTAAGTCCCCTCATTCTTTATTATTACTAATTAAGATAAATCATTACCGCTTTTTCGCCGCTTTGAGCTCGACGCACCCAAAAGTGCTTGGAAATATATTGGAGCATGAAATGTGTTCCAAAAAGCGCAATTTTCAAATAGATTAGGTTATCAAAAGAAATGGCCATGTCACTGAGCAAAACTAAAAGATCTGTTCAAAATTCGGTCCCTTTAAAAATAGTCTTTCTCAAATGATTAAGAGTTCAGAACTCCAGAATTTCAAATTACCAAGTCTTTGCTCTTGAGGGCAATGTCCGAACGAAGTTTTGACATTCGAGGTTTCCGCGGTTTTTTTTCTCACTCGGGCTTACGCTGACCTCAAATATAGCTTGAAGGTTACATTAAAGGCACGTTAACTTTCGTTAACAAGTTATGGAGGACTACTATGGCTGCAGATTTTGTAAGTCATTTCTCAGCATTGCCCGCACGGTGTGGTTATATTACCTGTTTTTTAACCCGATCTGCACCACAGTCTGTAAGTACGAGAGAAAACAATTATTATATCGAGACTTTTTGCATTAAAAAAAGAAGAAGCAGGTCTAAGAGTTTAGCAAGTCGTAGACACTGCAAAACATAGATGCGTCATGACGAAGCCTGATCCGATTATCTGGGTAAACATTTGTTATGTGGATGGAGCTCTCTTGTGATATAATTCTTTCTAAATGGAATAACATCCATTCTGAGACTCGGTTACTTGAGAGCGCTTTGCGTATATGTAATAAGTTTACGCTTGCGCTTCAACTCGTTTTGGATAATTAATTCAAATTTACCACCTGGCGTGTTTGAAATTGCATATGTAGATCTGTTTTTTTTTGCAGATAAAAACAAACAAATTTATTACTCGTACATACAGTATATTTTAGACCGAGTCGAATAAATATTCGAGTATATTCGAAGAAAGTGTTTGAATAAACTTTATTTGAAATTTTGTTATGCGAAAATTTCAAAATCGAATATATTCAATATTCGCTTATTCGAAATTTATAAATTTCGAATTTATTCGATTATTCGGTTTTGATTTTCGAATATTTTCGAACATTCAAATACCTACTTTTAATAGCTATGCTATTATTCAACATTTTCGTATGACCGGATAACTACATACATGACAGTTCACATTTTTGATTGCTATATCAGCAAATATCGTTTATTGTTCAAGTTGCCCACCAGGGCTCGGCACAAGGTGGGCAAACGGAGTTTTCCAAAACGAATTCCCCTTTGATCCCAATAGTTTTTACGAATACCCCCTTGAGCCCAAAAATGACGCTTTGTGCTTGTGCAATGAGAGCACCGGCCACACTTCGCCTAAAAGCGCGCAAAAGTGCCCAAAATGCTCGAATTCCTTTAATTACTCCTCACCTGTATCAAGATAGACACGGGAAGAAGAATAAGCAAGGAAAATATGAAGGAATGAAAAAATATCGAAGTAAAGCAGTCATAGGACTGAGAGACGCTCCCGCGCGTATCGATTGACTGGGGCGCGCTTTCCATCTTAGAAAGCTAGGCTGCTGATGCGATTTTGGGCTCTAACCAAGACAAGAGGAGGAGTTTCGGAACCAAAATCTCACCATATAGTAAACTTCAGGTGCACAACACATTTATGTAAAATTTTTGAAATAATTGAAATAATCGACTCCATATTCGGAATCAGGGCTTTCAGAAGGCCTGAAGGCGACAAAAACATTGAATCCGAGATTTTGGGTGGACGGTGCCTTTAAGGTTCATGAAAATATTTCTTAATGAAAAGCATGATTCGAGCTTCTTTTGCTTGCCCTTGGAATCTCCTTCCGGGGCTCGGCCCCGGATCCCGCAAAAACGATATCCCCTTAGCTTTTTGGCCCCAAAACTTTCCAGCTTGTCATTTGCCCACCTCGTGCCGGGCCATGTTGCCCACTACAAGTATTCCTTCATTGTGCTAATTCGACCAAAATTTGTTGAATATCCGACATAGTCGATGCAAGGTATTCGTTTATTCGAATTTTTACTCGAACATATTCGATCACTGGAGATTTCTCCATTTCGAAGTTATTCGATATTCGATTATTCGACAATTTTCTAATTCGAAAATATTCGAAATACGATTATTCGATATTTGCGATTTTCGAACACGATTATTCGATTATTCGAAAGGAAATTTCGAATATTTTAAAGTGTAATATACAGGGTGTCCTAAAAAGATGTGAACATTGTTTTCGTGAATACCCCTGATTTAATGTCTTTCGCCACCTGAACTACCATTCTAGCGAGATTCAACTTAGATTCGCAGCGTGGACCGAATCAACAATCAGTCTCCGCTACTGTAGGTTCACGGTATGAGCTTCCAGTGTAAAACATTATTGTGAAATAAGCCTTTTGGTGAAAAAATTTCGAAGAGGAAATTTGTGTAGCAACGTTTTCAGCGTCCTGATTTCACTGCACAACTTTTCACCAGTTTTTTGAGCTCTTTCAATGGTATAATCATACTTTTGACAAAATTGCAAAAACAATTGTTACCTTAAACCTAAATAACCGGTGCTCGGCACGAGGTGGCTTCCCAAAATTGCAAAAAACGAAGTCCTCTTTGACTTCGCTATGAAAGTACGACATCCGCCTAACGGAACAAAGTAGAACAAGCCAAAAAAGGCATCAAACAAATGCCATAATATTCGTATTCTCCGGATTGGCCGCGTATCCAACGCGCAGCACCACGCGCCCGGAGCAGCGTTGCCGCCGCCATTCAAGATTTTTCAGGTGCTGTAAGTAAGCGGCGAGGAGGGTGTTTGAGGCGACAGGAGCCAGTTTGTGTGGTTTGGGATGTAAATGAGATTCATGTAAAGAAGGTAGGAAAATTATCTGAGGGAGAAAATTTTTATGAATTTACTCTTTCCGAAGTTAGAACAAGCCACCTCAGGTGGCTTCCAGGTGGCTTGAAAGCCACCTAACTCCAAAAAAGTTAAGCACGCCTTCAATTCACATATTTTTTCGTAATTTTTCATACATAGTTCTAACTTCATTGCCCATCTACACTCCAATTTTGTGTCATCTCATTTTCACTTCGCTGTAAACAAGCCCTTTGTTTATTTTAGTGAGCATGCCGCCGAAATGCCGGCAGTGTGCCGGCGGCACTCGGAACGCAAAAATGACATCCCCTTTGCTTTTTCTCCCCAAAATAATATCCAGATTGCTTAGTAAGCCACCTGTGCCGTGCGCTGGAAATAACTCATGAAAGAAGCATTACAGTGAAGTGCAAAACTCAAATTTAAAATGAGCAACTTCGATTAGTCCAGTACAAGAACTTCTTATGTGTTTGGTTTTTCGAGGCAAAAATCGCTTTTACTTTCCTAAAATCCTTCTCGAAGATCATACCGTAATTCACAGTAATGAAGGGTGATTGACGATTCGATCCATACTTAACTTTGAGTTCAACCTCGCTTTACAAGCTGGTACCTCAAAGGCAGCGTCCAGACAAGTCTGGACCTATGGGGATTTTACATGGAAAGTACTTTTGGGGCACTAACTAACCCACTACCCAACCGGCAGCTGAGGTAGTGCCCTAACGCCTGAGATATTTCCCTCGAAACTGGACCCCGCGACCGTGTTTCGCATGGATTCATGGCGCAAAGCGTGTATCCTGGCGCGAAACTGCTATGAATCCATGCGAATACGTTCGCGGGGGCCAGTTTCGAGGGGAATATCTCAGCCATCAGAGCACTACCTGAGCTGCCGCTTAGGCAGTGCCTTAGTTAGGGCCCCAAAAGTACTTTCCACGTAAAAGCCCCATGGGTCCAGATCTGCCTGGACGCTGCCTTTAAGTTTGGCGAAAGTCGTAAAAGTAAGAGAGTCAAACTTGTTCTCATCTTTGAGATATCTGGTATATGAAGCAATATCGTGTTAAAGTCGTTCTCACACCACTAGTCGCTGGTGAGTGAGTTCGAATTTATACTGTTTCTTGTGTTTTGATAACGTTCGTGATTGCGATAGACGTTTTTGTCGAAGTTTGACATTTTGTTGCAGTTTGACGATTTCTCACTGCTATGCTCGTTTTTTTTAACTCTGATTCCAAGTAAACTGCTGGGCCATATGTGACGTGAAATTCAACGAAACAACACTGAAGCACATCTTACCAAAAAAGAATGTACAAGCAAGAATTCCTAATCCCATCGTTTCTCCAAGTTCACCTAAACTCAGAGTTGAAATACGAGCATATCAGTATGAAAAATTGCACAACAACAACAACAACAAAATTGTTAACTTCAATCCTGAACAATGTTAAAACACAAGAAACATCAGTCAACACGGAGAAAAACAGAAAGAAAATATGTGTAAGACTGAATTGAGGATGGTGCTGCGCTCGAGTGCGACCGCCCTGCCCCAGTTCAATTGAACTCATCCACCAGGCGACTAGTGAGTGAGCACGACTATATCAAAAGTGTTTTGGATTTGGGTGTATTTGCAGTGTATGAGAAAACTCCTTCTCGACGGGTTTCTGTCAAAACCACTAAAGTCTATGGTTGCATCACATATGCAAATGTTTTCCCTGAGGAAATAGGGCCTCGCAAGTTGGAACCAGGTAAAGCTGGCTATCGTTCCTGGGCTGGGGGGGGGGGGGGAGGCCAGAGAAAATATCGCTTTTGCGGGTGCTTTTTGTAAATACCACTTTTGCCAAGCATGCCGCAGCATGCAGGCGGACTCGGCAAAAGTGGTATTTACAAACAAAAGCAATGGTAAGACATCAAATTTTCTTGCATACGCATGGCGGCGGTGCAGGAGGGACCAAAGACCTTAGTTTATCCAAGGGGGAAAGGGGAGAAGCTGGCCGCGTGCCAAGAAGGATCTGGCAACCTTCCAAGCTCCGCCCTCTGCTCTGGGTCTGGGTCTTGCCTTTTTTGCTCAGGGATTCCTTGAAGGAAAAGGCTAGTTCAAAAGACCTGAGGGGGAGATACAAGGAAGGGACAAACAAGTTTGTGACCAGTTTTGAAAAACGAATCTTGTAAGTGGACTTACATTTAAATTCACATCAATGCAAATCTAGCATTCTTTTAAAGATTGGAATTGATGAACGATTTTTAGAGAGGTAGGTGCTTCTGCTCGATTTCAATTCTCGTGAACTCTTGTAAATTGCTTCGCGGAGAACTTATTCTAAATTGCATTGTATTTATAATTTTCTCACTCTTTTACGATAGTCACTGCGTTAGTTGCATTTGTGTTAATCGATAGCCGATTAGTTGACCTTTGCAGGATCAAGCCAGTCGTCCGTCTGTTGAGCCAAGAAAGTCATAATTCAAGTGAAAACTTTATTCTTTGTTAACTCCAGTAAATGTTTTACTCGGGGAAGGGGGAGGGAAAAGGTGAGAAAAATTCGCGAGAAAAACGTTAAAAAGCCGTACTTCAGATAGGTTTTTGCGAAAGTAGATGTCAAAAGTTTTCGAGTTGAATTAGACCGGGCAAAAACTGCAAAAAGCAGGCAAAGTCACCAAAACTTTTCTGTTATAACAG